TCTACTACCTGCTGCTGCTGCTGCTGCTACTACTGCTGCTGCTGCTGCTGCTGCTGCTACTACTACTACTACTACTACTGCTGCTGCTGCTGCTGCTGCTACTACTACTACTACTACTACTACTACTACTATCGCCACAACTACAATGGCCACTACTTGCCACCACCTACTAGCAACCAAAGGGCACCTACTAGCATACTACCACCTGCTACAACCCACTACTACCAGCAACAGCTACAACAACGACGATGACCACGACAACGACAACAACAAAAAGCATAGAAAATGATGCAGCAGCAGCAGCAGCAGCAGCAGCAGCAGTGGCGAAAGCAACAATGTCATCATGGCCGTCATCAACCTCAGTATCTTCATAATCATCATCACCACCATCATCACCATCACCATCACTCTTACCCTCACCATCACCGTCATCAGCATTTTTTAAATCCGTAAGACAACTGTCATAACTGCTGCTCTAGCATGGCCATCAGCCTCAAGCGTCGAGTAGGCTTCACCAGAAATCAATTCGACTCCCAGGGTATACGAACCTAACATCCTGAACCCCTAGACCGCATTTCGTCCTTCGGGCGTGGCCCGAACTCGGAGAGTGGGGGCAGCCACGCCTGCGGGGCTGGGGCTGTCTGGTGACGGGCTTTGTGCAAAGAGCAGAGGACCCAGGAGCTAGGCCAAGCAATTCCCAAACCAGGCTCTTCAGCAAGTTCCAGGCTCCGGATTACGGAGCTATCTTTGGGTTTGCAAGGCTGCAGCTTTAGCGGCAAGGCTTGGGATATGCCAGGCTACTCCGAGTTCACGAAACAATCCATGATCAGGAACGAAACTTGCTGCGGCTCTTGGCAGGCACTGCCGTCAAAGGGCCTAAAATATTACTTCTTTAAGCAGTGCCGTCAGCCAGAAGCCCGAAGGAATTTAAACTCTAGATCCAACGAAGCCCCAAGAACTGAACCCCGAAACCCTTGACCAATGAACCCCTGAAACTCCTTGTCCCCAAGCTCTGAACCTCCCCCACAGCAATGTCCCCTAAAGCCAAAACCCCAAAACCTACAAACCCCAAACTCAAAACCCAAAAATCCAAATCTACAAACCGCAGAACCCAAAACCCAAAACCCAAAAACCCCAACCCTAAACCCAAACACCCCCCCCAACAAAAAAAAAGCCCAGCGGACCTCTCCAAGGAAGTCCATGCCCATAAAGTCGGAGTCCCAGACCTGAAATCCCATGTGCTGGAAGGCGATGAGGAGCTGAGGGTTTGTAGGTTTTGGGGTTTTGGATTGCGGGGTTTAGGGTTTGGGGTTTAGGGTTTGTAGGTTTGGGGTTTAGGGTTTGGGGTTTAGGGTTTTGAGCTTGGGGTTTAAGGTTTTGGGGTTTAGGATTTCGGGCTCCCTATATAAGGGATCCATAAGGGGTTCTATAGGGGTTTCTCTAAGGGTACTATAAGGGTAGCCAAGATTTGATCGGCTTAGGAAGGTGTGATATTGGTTGTTCCGATGTGGCATGCGATGTGCGATTTTGGTGAGGTGAGGAGGCGAAGGATAGGAAATTGCACAAACAATGGGTTTAGGGTTTAGGGTTTAGGGTTTTTTTTTTTTAATGCAGTAACCCCCTTTCTCACGCAGAAGGTCAGAGGCTCGCCCCATTGGGCTTGCACTGAAAAGACGACCCCACGCCAGCTCACATTGAACGGTCTTCACGAGGATGTGACGGGGAAGTGACGTCACGGGCTGCAGAGGTTTGTTGTGCGTCGCGACTACGACTGCGTTCACGTAGAGCACCAAGCGCCGGCATGACCGGGGAGGAGTGCGAAGAGGCCGCAACGTGGTCACCAATGTTCACGACGTTGTCGCTCCCCGAGGCTTGTGAGGTTCGCGCTGAACCATGTCCTCGCCGACGCGCAGCATAGCCATGTAGACGACGGTGGAGGAAGGGCCTCTCCGGCGGCAGGCACACACTGGGAATGTTGGGCACAGGCACCTCCCCATCAGTTTGTATGAGGTAGAGGTCACGGTTAAAAAAGGCCATCTTCCCACTGGTGCGCCTCGTCCTTCTCGTTGGTAAACTCTCATGACGTGAGTCCGCCACATTCGTCGCCGGTAGCCAGCAATTGTGGCCTCATCGAAGTGGGGGAAGGCAGCCTGGAGCTCAACAACGGTGTTAGGTAACCCAGGTTGTAACAGTACAGCAGGTTGTCCACCCGGGATCACGCTGGTCGTACTGGAAGGACGATGGCCATTGGTTGCTTCCCTGGCGATAACACCCCAGATGTTGGCATCCATTGTCGCCGCGTTGAAAGGGAGGGCGTGCCGTGGTACTTCGATCATGCCCAGGAGCTCCTCGATGGCCTCTCCCAGCAGCCGGTCACAGTGCCGCAGGTTGCGTTGTCGATCCAACAGCCTGCGGAGGAGGTCTTGGATATCAGCCTGTCCTCCGACCGTAGCTTCCACCACCACTGCTTCACGCACTAGTGTTGCCGGCCAAATGGTCTGCGAGGAGCTCGTCGAGGTAGAGGTAGTTGACCAGTGGCAGCATCCCCATCCATTCACCCACGGAAGTTGCACCCAAGAAGCATCATCTGAATCAAAGTCACCCTCCTCCCCTTCAGGCCAAGTCCAGGGTCCCACCCCCATGGGCTGCGTTGTCACGGAGAAGTAGTTCGACGGAGGGGATGAGGAGGAGGACGGGCAGGCAGACAAAGACTCATCCATCACGTAGGTCAGCGAGACATTGTGCCGCAGGCAGGCTGTGGTCGTGGAGGTGGTTCGCCGACGCCGCGGAGATCCTGACGAGCTCGCTTGTCCAAAGGCACTGTCCGGATTAGACAGGTTTTCCAACGGCGGGTCACGCCAAATGCCCGGAAGGGTGGACGCATCTGTTGCAGCCATGTCACCCCCCGCAGTGCCCACAACAGCATCGGTCATTGCGGCCACCACCTCTTGATCATGTACTGCCTCGCTTGCCTCCGACTCCTCGTCCTCGTCCGGGTCATCCTCGCCATCTGTGCGCTCCCTGTCTGGCACTGGGCTTCGACTTCGGTCACTGTCCCGACGTTCTCCCGATGCAGTTGCTCGATGATAGGGCTCCGCCGAGTTGAAGCCCAAGTTGATGCCCTCCGAGGGGTCGCATTCCTGCGGCTGAAGGGGTGCCCCCAGGTTGATCTCGAGTGCCCTTGTAAAGATTGTCATGAATTGTCGCGCCCAGTTCAACCAACGAATCCGAACAAGTTCTTCTCCGGGAATCCGTTGTAGTGGGAGATAACCTCGAGGTTGTAGACGCCGTAGTAAGATGTCCAACACCACCTGCAGCGTGAGAATGCCATCTTGTAGTCGTGCCGTGAGCCTGGCCAGTGCCCATCTCGCTTCCGGGCCCGTGCCGTTAATTTGGTGGTCGTCCAGTTGGTGCATCAGCTCTTCCAGGCGGCGAATATTGTCCTCTGAGATGCCATTCTCCTGAAGGGTGGCTCTTTCACCATTGGTCATCTGCAGCAGCCAGTCCACCTGGCCCCTGAAAGTAGTGACCGTCGGGAAGAGGCCAAGGCCAGGAACAGCCGGGTTGTCATCCTCCGGTTGTGGAGTCGAAGTCGAGGTGGTAGATGTTGTCCCCATAGAAGTCACCCCACAAATCCATCCTAGCCAATCCCACGTAGTCGCCCAGGCAGTAGTGGTCGTGGTGGATGAAGCGCCAGAACCCTCGTCCCATGACCACTGTTTCGTAATCGAGGTCCAGTCTTCCCAGTGCTGCGTACTCCACCACGACGGCCAGGAGGAAGGGGTTGCCGGTGTCGCCCATTGGTCACCCCCTTGTTCATCATCTTGCTTCCACCACCAACTGGAGGTGTTGTCCGCATCTGTGTGCCAGTAGGTGTCCCAGGACGTCCACATGGAGCTCTCTCGGTTCTCATCCCAGGCTGTGGCATGTGACTGGGTCGATTGTTGGGCCGGGGTCATGGGTTCGGCGGCATCCGTAGCCGCAGCCTCGCGTTGCCTCCGATCTACTACGTACTGCTGAAGCCATGCCGGCTTCCAACGGCCCTCAAAGTACGCATTCATGCGCTCCTTCTTCCGCTTGGTGCGGATTTCACCACCTCCTCCCCTGTGCGCGCGTTGTTCGGCTTCTGTGCGAGGGCGGTTGTGCCAAACGCCACCACGCCAGAAGCCAACGGAGCCCTCTGCCGCCCCATCAGATGAAGACATGCCAGATTCTGTGTCAGCAAGGCCTCCCTCTTCTCCCGCCGTTGTACTTTCCCCACTGTCCGGCTGGGCATTGGAGCGTACTGTGAAGGTGTGTCCTGTGGCGTCCTTGACCAGGATCAAGCTGTCACCCGTCCCTTCCTCTGTGCCAGCGTGGCCAATCACTTCCATCCACGGTTCTTGTGATTGCGGTTGTGTGGCCTCTTCTTCAGGGACGGTAGACAGCGTAGACGAGGTGGCTTCCGCTGTAAGTTTTTCTCGAAGACGGTAACGGACTGTCCCATCTGCATAGTGCCAGCGATCGACTCCAGGGCGACGGACTCCAAAACGACATGTAGTCCCACCGTTGGCATCACCATGTTGTCCCGGCTGTGTGGTTCTGCACGGTCTGCCTCGAAGACAGCGCTGATCAATTACCAACTCGAGCCAGTCCCCCGCAATCGGAGTTTGCCTCGAGGTGGGTTGGGCCCCAGCAGTTTCCAATGTTTCCGGGGTCCATGGCGTCCAAGAAGGGTAGAAGCTCTGTGTCGCCCAATGAAGTTCACCCCCAGCACCTGGTTGACCTTCTGGATCGGGAGCACCTGGATTCACCCCGGCCGAGGTAGTCGAGGGGGAAGGCAAGGAAGCCGTGGGGCACGATGCGGAGGAAGCCACGGTCAAAGCAGGCAAGGAGGAGGAGGGAGGCGAGGAAGACGAAGAGGACGATGTAGCCGACACTGCTGCCAAAGTCGACCCCACAACGGGTCGAGCAAGAGCGGCCACTCCTGCCGGCGACGTGTAGGCAATGTCACCCCCTGGCCAGTCCCACTCAGGTAGGTCGCGAATTTGATCATCATCATCCACTCTTGTCATGCATGTAGAAGACGAAGAAGACGAGGCCATCGCAGGAGTTGGCAGGAGGCATGGGTCTGGCGCCAAAATCGGCGGGCTCTCATGCCCCAGCTCTGTTGTGATGACCTCGTCAAGCTCCTCCTGCTGAAGTCCCAGGCAGAGTTCTTCATCCCAGGCACTGGTCATGTAGGCGATGACGCTGGGGTCTGCACGTGCACGTAGAGGGTCAGATCTCATCTGTTGCCATGACGACGAGGATGGGCAGGAGGAGGATCCAGCCGGAAGGTCATCCACGTCATCCCACGCACTGGCCACTGGGGTCGGAGGAAGAGGGGGATCAACCTGCGAAGGAGCGGCCGTCATGGAAGCTGTCGAGCCCGTCGAGGTAGCAGCCGGCCACGGTTCAGCTTGGAGTGGTGTCACTTCCGGCTTCCATCCAGACTCCCAGAGGTGGCCTGGATAGGCGTCATCCTCATCCTCTTTCATCCCACTGGTCAGGCGCAGCCAGGGGCCATCAAGCAGCACCCAGAGCACGGCAAGGCTCGCAGCGGCAGCCATGACGTGGACAAAGGAGCCAAGGTTCTCAGGGTCTCTGCAATCACCTCGAGCCAACATGTCACAGTGTCATGTAGTTCATAAGCACAACCTCAGCACGGAGTGATTGATTGAGGTCACCCATGAATGAAACGTAAGCGGCAAAAAGCATGTAGGTCAAGAAGAAGAGCCATGGTGTGAAAAATGCGAAGTTAGTCAAGGTCGTCCATTGAAGTTGTCATTTTGTTCAAGTCAGTCAGAAAACATGCAGGATTGGTCGTACTGTCACAAGAACCCCCTCGTTCAGCACAAGCGCGAAGACAGGACTCAGTCTGTAGTGACTTCACCCCCCGTCCCCATACACCGTGCTGATCAGGCGGTGATGGACAACTGCCTTCCTCTGCTCCACTTAGTATCCCACCTGCATATGAAAGCATCTCTTTCACGCGACCATCCCTGGCGGTCCCCAGCAAGGTGCATCCATCTGGTCCCATGAACTTCGGCGAGCTGTCGTTCTAAGTTATGTACATGAACATGCCCATGGTGCCTGACGCTCACGATGGGACTCAGCGCTTGTTGCCTTCTCCACCACTCAGTGTTCCGCCAAAGAAGTGCACGCATGGGCAGCGAGGGTTGGGGAAGAGAACGAGGGCCAACAACCTCAACGCGGCGAGCCCAGTGGCCAGCGAGGGTGTGTTGTAGTCGCAGGATCGTCGTGCTCCATCTGGGAATGTTGTGATGAACCAGCCAGCAGCGACACTCCCTCATCGTTCTGCAGTTCCAAGCCAGCCACCCCTCATCTCGTCGTCTGCACATGTTGAAGGCGGACCGTAGCACGTGAAGTTGCAAGGTGTTCGCCTGCTGTAATTCAGTGGACGACCAGAACAACGCCCCGGCGGTCCACATGAACTGTGAAGCAACCAAAGTGGCAATCATGTGGTTCTTCTTCACCCACGGTGCTCTTCCCTTCAGAAGGAGCCTATGTTTGGCCGCTGCACCACGAGCCCTCCCAAGTAGTTCACGCGCCTGTTGAGCCGGGCTGTCTTGGAGATTGAAGGATAGGCCCAGGACTTTTACTGATTCACCCGCGGCAGCAATCTCAAACAAATCTCCACCCACCCTGGCCTTTCTGGTGCCCTTGTAGTGCTCGTTGGTCTTGTTTGCAGCCAGGCGCAATCCTGCGGTGAGAAGCAGGCTCTCAAGGACCTTGACACGCTTACAAAGCCTCACGAAGTCATTTTCCAAGATAAAAATATCATCCTGGTAAAAGATGACGTTCACCCCAAAGTCGGGATCTGCCGTGCCAAGAGCTTTCCACCCCGAACTGCGGATTATTTCATCAGCAATGCATCCATAACCATGCCAAACAGCTCTGCGCTTTCTGGCGCACCCTGCTTGATGCCAACGTTTGGGGCAATGTCAACCACGTCCCCTCCCGGCACCTTTCCAACGAGGCGATAGGAGTGCAACTGCGCCAGCAGGTATCTGAGCTCGTGCGGCAGATCATGGTGTCCAAGATGATGCTTGAGGAACTCCACGACACGTAAGCGATCAAGCTTGTCAAAGGCACCGGAGATGTCCAATTTGCATAGGAGAAAAGGCATCTTCCATTCTTGTACCACATCGCGAAGACGAGAGATCACCCCAATGGTATCAGCAGCTTGTCGTCCCTTGCCGCAGCTGGAACACAAAGATCCCTTTCGCAACCTGGGCAGCGTCCGGACGCAGACTAACTTTGTGACCATCTTGTGAAAGACCGAGCTGACACATATAGGCCTGAGGTCTTTGGGCTTTTGCGGGTGGTCAACTTTGGCAAGCAGGGCCAGGAAGTTATCACGCCACCCAGTCGGCAGGTGAGTGTGTTCCACGATGCCATTGACGAGGTCTACGAGCTGTGGAGCAAGGGTGTCGTGACTGGCAACGGCACGAAGGAGAGAAACACTCACCCCATCCGGCCCAACAGCACCTGAGGCCTTCATATCCTGCAGTACCTCCCGGATGTCGAGCAACGTGAACGGCACAAAGTCCTCCTCCAAGCGAACGTTGTTGATGTGTTCAACCAGCATCTCATCCCAATCCTGAAGGTCCTGGTTGACAAGCTTGTCCTCGAGGTGAGCGTGAACTTCCGAGGTGAGGGCTGCCGAGCTTTTGTCCTGGAGAAGTTCACCCCACCAGCCTCGACGTCGATTTGACTCCCTCTGCATGGCTCTATACTGCGCCCAGTCTCCTCCAAGAATGTTGGCCAATCTGTCCTGCTGCCATTTCCGTTTCTTGTTGCGGCGAAGCTTGTGAGCCTTCTTCCAGAGCGCTTTGTCCGTCTTGACTCTTCTGGCCTCAGCAAAGGCAGCTCTAGTCTCCTCATCATCCTTGAAGCATTGCGTAGGTCTTGGCCCGGTGCAAAGTCGAGCCAGGTGGCTGAGGTCCTTCGCGTCCACAAGCGGGGTGTCCGGGATGGAGGAATTCACCCACCTCGGCCTAGAGTCGTTGCCCCACTGCAGCCTCCCTCGCTTGGCGGTGTAGATGTCTGTCCAAAGTGCAGCATGGTCCGTGCCTATGAGGAAGCGGCGGTCAGGTTCGATGTGCACGGGTCCTGTCGAAAGGAGTCTGCACCACATCATGTCGATTTGACGTCCTGCACGTTGCTCGTCACGAGGGTAATGTGTTGCAGTAAGAACTTGTTGAGCGCGAGGTGCGATTGGGCGGAGTCCCATGTCCGTGCATTGCTCAATCAGTACATTGATATTATTGGACCCCGACGCGAGAACATCTGCCCCAGGTGCCGCGAGTTCATTGTCCATGCTCATCCAGGTTGGCGACTCATTGACATCGAATCCGCAGATGACCGGCAGGTGTCGCCATTTGGTGGGGCACGATTTGATAAAGTCGAGAACTGCTGCTTGGTACTTGGCGTTGGTCACCCCCGTAAGGCAGTGTAACGAACCGAGAACGACCCTGCCCAGTCCAACTATTCTGGCCAAAATCCAAAGGCCCCTTTGCGTGGAGAGCTTGGCGATGACGCAGTCGAGCTTGTCCACAGCGATCCCCACTCCCACCCCTCGCCACATCTCAGCTTGTCGAAACGTCGTCCAGTGAAAGTGCTCCGTGTCCATGTTCCCCCATCCTTGGTCAGACCGGGAAATCTCTTGCGCGAAAACAATATCAGCATCGAGTGCAGCCACATCGAGTAAGTTTAGCTCTTGGCCGCCTAAATTCCATTGCATAGCACGCCCCCATCTGTGTTTTCCACACGGGAGAGGGCCCACACCTGACGTCACCCCCGACGAAACCTTAGGTTGAGCAGTCGGAGACAACGGAGTGAAACACATCTGACCCCCTTCTCATTGTTCCAGCTCAAAGGCTGCTTTCGCAGCCTCGACTGTGCATCCCGCCACCAAGCCGACCGCATCAAGATTGACCCAGCCACCTGTCATTGTAATCACCTCAGCATTGCGTGGAGCCCTGTGGGTAGCCGAGGCCAACTTGTGGGGTCCACACCAGATGGTCCCTGCGCCCCAATCCATGTCGTAGGATGACGGAACAGTGTGGTCCAGGTTCAAAACACCCCCTCCCTCGTCCTTGGCATCGGTCGCCAGTGCGATGGTCACCCTGCGGACTTGGCTGATGTGGGCTGTCCTTGTTCTCGCCGTTCTGGTCTTGACAAAAGCCATCCATGCGGTGCGATCCTCACCCATGTTGGTTGTGCTTGGATACACTATTTTGGCCTGGGCCACTGCGCGTACCACCCGCCACATTCTGTCACGTACCTGAGCGAGTGTTTCTCCTTCACGAACGACGAACCTAATCATTCCAACACTTCGTCGGGGCCCGAAGACAGAGACTTTGTCAGCGTCAATCAGGTCGCGTACCTCTGGCAACTTGAGCACCAAGTCAGCCTCCGTCTCGATAACTGTTCGACGCGTGTCCTGCATCCAGCCACCCACCACTAAGGTTCGTTGATCTTCTTCCGAAAGAACATCACCCCGATCACGACCACCGAGATTAGCAGGATCACCCCCAGGAAGAGCCCCAGTGTTGCCCCCGCCCAGATCAGTGGCATGCGCTTGTTGCCCATCACCCATCTGCCTCTTCCGGATATATTCTCCCCACGGGTCATTAGGTGCCGCCGGTCCCTTGCCCACAGCTTCATGCGCACGGCTGTCTTTCTTCACTTCCTCGAGCTGCACCTTGAGGTTCTTGACGTCTTCGGTCAAAGCATCCATTTTAGGCTGGAGTCCGTCTTGTGCCTTCTTGATCACTTGGATGTCCTTCTCGTTGATCTTCGTCCGCCCTGCAAGGGAAGCTATATCACCCACCTGTTTCTGTTGAACGCCCTCCACCTTGTCAATCCGGGACTCAAAGCATCTCCACGCGTCTTTCATCTCCTGAGCATGTAGTTGTAGGAGCTGCCTAAGTTCACCCCCTGAGACCGGACGATCATCAGGCCGAAGGTCACCAGGTGGAGGTGGTCGCTTAGAGGGGCTCTCCTCGTCCTGCTGGTCAAAGCGCGGGGTGCCCCTACCATCACGTCCATCTGCTCTCTTCCTCTTCTCCTTTTGGGGCGCAACAACTGCAGTCAAGGACGGGCCAGCATCTTCTTCTCGCTTGACGTCAATCTCCATGTCGGACTCGTTGTCAGCGACTTCCGTAGGTGACCCTATAACCTCTTCAGCATCCATGTCGGCAGGCTGGGTGACTGCCGCGTCCGGGCCAGCGCTGGCCATAGTAGGTGAGGTTGCAAGTTCACCCCCAAGGAAGGCCAAGCAAATGAAGAACCGCACCGAGAGAGAAAAGCCGAGGAAGCCCGTCAGAAGTCGCCCCAGCAGCGGTCACCCTCCAAGGAGAACAACTGGCCGGAAGATCACCCCAACAGACAGGTGGCCACAACACGCAAACTGGTAAGTCACCCCGAAGTACTGGCCGCCAGGGATCGAGATCACGGAGCCCAGGCGCGATGGCAATCGGGGGGAGAGAGACAGGAGGAACCAAAAGATCTTGAGCCAAAATGGCTTGAGCCGTAGCCACCTCGGGTTTAGGGTTTAGGGTCTCATGAATTCCTGGGCTTCCGTGCCGAAAACACCGCATGTTCTGCTTCTCACGCCTTCTACACGCATCCCCCCTCCCATCTACCCATACCCCGTGGCCTTCTCTTTGTGGGCTTTGGGAACCCATATCAAAAAGTATAGGAAAAACAGCGAAGTCCTGAAATCGTGCATCTGTATCGCACGCCATAAATCAAGTCAGCATTGAAGGTCCGCTCCCTGGCGGAAAGCTGCTTGAAACAAAGTTGTGAGCGGTTGCATGCACCTTCATACCATCATTGCAGCCTTCAGGGCCTCAAAGACTCAACTGGGGAAGCCCTACATTGACATGTTCCAGGTACCATGTCGAGCATGTAAAAACCCTCAACAAGTCATCATCAAGTCACAGAGTTTAAGCTAGGTCTAAGCCTGTCCGGGCCCTCACTCCCTCGTCGCAGGGCCTCGATCAACAGTGACTGGCCGATGTTGACGGATTCCTGGCTCAGCCAGGACCCTACATAGCAACAGTTTTCACGGGCTGAAGGTTTGAGGATTTAGAGCGACGGTTTTCTCCCTGACGACTTGCACCTGTTAAGCCTTTGTGTTGGCCTCCTGACAAACTCCAGTCCTCCAGCTCCTGGAACACATCATCATGGTGCGGATCCATGATTGTCACCTGGCAGACACATTGAATAAGGAGTGTATGCTGTACGCGTGCAGCGGCTGAGCTGCCCGAGCTCACGCTACGGCATGGCGATTCTCTTATTTAGGAGCGACAAAACCGGAAGTGCAAGTACCAGTGCTCCTTCCCCGGGCAAAGGGCTGACAGGTGCAAAGCTGACACTGTCGCGAGCGCTCAAAACTGCGATGAAGTTGCCGCAGCACGAGCGCTGAGAGGCTTAGTCTGAATGCGGCTGCATGTCAATGAATTCCGGAAACCTCAAAACGAATCTAGCTTTAGAATTAAAATGACATGCAAACAAGCCACCTAACTCTACCAGCTCAGGTACTGTGGCCCCAGTCTTCGGTTAACCAAGCCCTTAGGCGGCAGAGCATCGGCCTTCAAATACCTACCACCTTCAAAGCATGATCCCGAAACACCCACTCAACATACTTCGCGAGTTCGAAGCTCCATTCATCCTGGCATCGCTCATGCTGCTCCTGCTCCTGCTGCTCCTGCTGTTGCCATTGTCAACGTCTTTTGCATTCATCCGCACCCTCATCCCAGTTGATTACAGCACATCACTCTCGTCGTCTTCATCAGCATCGCCATGGCTGTACACCACCGTCACAGACACCTCCAGAGGGATCGGCCGCGTCTCGTGCAACTCGTGCCTTGGTATTGGCTGGAAGATTCCAGCAGGCAGTCACTTTTGTCCCTCTCGCGTTTGCACGGCCAGACAGCCAACCAAGCCCAAGCCTTAACCACGCTTGAAATGACCCGAATGCACGCCGGGATGCGTAGTGCATCCCAGTCGGCGAATCGATTCGCTCAGGAGTGGGGAAGCGGTGAAGCACGCCTAGGCGGTATCACATGTCCTGGATCCTTCTGAGGGTTTTGCTTTTGGTTGGCGTGAAAGTGTCCGAGACGATTGGCCTGCCTGACTGCCTGCAAAGCACCGCATCATGAATGCTTCGCAAGTGCCCCAACATGCCATTCAAGCCATGATCCGTGTCATGACATCCAATCCACCCCAAAGAGGCTAGGCCACGGGCAATGAACTCCTGCTTTGACACACGGCTCATCGACCAGGAAGGTGGCTTGGTCTCGCAAGGGAGGGAGGCCCAGGAGTGGAAAGAGGGATACAACGATGTCCTACCCCCGCCTGGATCTCCACAGGCTCGACGGCCACTTCCTTTTCGTCCGGCAGCTCGAGGTATACCATGGTCTTGTTCTTGTTGTCTTTCGCAGCCGCAACCTTCTTCACGTAGGTCTTGTCATTGCTGTCGACGTTGTGCTTGCGCGCGCTCTCGTAGCTGAGGTAGACGCGTCTTCCCGGAGCAAGCTCCTGCAAGCCACAAAGCATAAAACAGATACCTAAGTGCAGGATTTGGTCTGAAATTTCTGCATCAGAACGATGGCTGGCCAATGGTGGGATCCGATCGGTCTCAATCGGGGAACCGATTGACCTTACAGAAAAGAAGTACGCGGGCCTTTGAGCTCGGGCCCAGAGGTCTACTTGCGGTTAAGAGGGGTCATGCAACGCTGTGACAGGACGCAGACTGCACCTGCATCCCGACGCCCGGAAGAATCTGCACTCTCAGTCCTGAATCCTGAACCCAATGACCCCAACCTGAAACCCCACACCTGCTGAACCAAACAGCCTAAAGAGATTGCTTCGGTGTGACGAGGCCCCTCCTCACCCTGCTCTGCAGATGGGTCCAGTTTGACCTGCACGTCAAGGCTGGAGGCTTTGCACGGTTGGCTCATTGCTGGCTGGTCCCAGGTCCGAGATGCGGCGTGTTTTCGGCATCCTCTTTGAACCAATATGCATTCAAGTCCACGGGAGTACGTCGGAAAACTGCTGGAACTCTTGTAGATCTTTCTTTTTGTTTAGTACTCCTTCACCTCTTTTGTGGCTACAACCATTACAACCCAATAAAGACTTTACGGCACGGGCATACAAGCTCGCAGCACTGCCGAATCCCATTTCAACGTGATCATGAAGCTCGGCGTGTTGCTCATGAACTGAAGTACGCTGTAGTATCGGGAGAGGACTCCGGCAGAAAGTTTCCCGACGTTGTCTCCCATAACTTTCCCACAGTAGAGTTCAAAACGTTTTACCTTCACATGCCCAGTTGCTCCGTCTCGTTCATCAACGCACGTTTAGAATTGTTTAAACTGTTCTGGACGATGAAGTCTCTCTGAGCACCCAATCATTCTTCCTAGGCAGCAACTAGCTTGAATACAAATGATTTCTTCAGCTGCGGCTCAAACAACACATGGGTAGTTTTCTAAATTAGGGTCCCTTTTGGGGTCCTTTTTATAAGGGTGCCGTACTATATTGGAGACCTAAAAAGGGACCCTAATTTAGAGAACAACCCACATGAGTAGCCGAGAGGGTCGAAGACCAAGTTCTGTATGGAGTGTACCGCACGATCTTCAATCTGTTGATTTGGCTTCCCAGAACCCCTTCCAGAACACATGACTTGACACATACGGAGAAGGGCATGAGGTGGGATGAATCTAGCGATGAGGGCTCGAGACAATAATCAAAGAAAGCAGTGCAAGAGGCATGTGCATGACAAACCCTCGCGCCTGTAAGTCCGCCGGGTCGACTGTTTTTTCTTTGGGGACTAACAGTTCGACGAGCACGCTGGTCTTCTGGTCTTGCGTAGTGGACACCTTCTTCACCGTGACCGTGACCCTTGCAACTGTACTGTCGGAGATATCGAGCTTTTGTGCGCCCAGGGAGGTGAGGTAGACCTGCTTTGAAGGAACACTCTCCCACTCCTTGGCAGTAATGTCCACAAGGTCCACTTGAATTTCTTTGGCAGCTCCACTCTCGTCTTTCTTGTCCGGCAGCTGGAGGTGTACGATGGTCTTCTGCTCGTCGTTGAAGGCCTTCTGAATAAGCGCTTTCTCAGTGGCGGCAACGTTGTGCTTGCGCGCGCCCTCGTTTGTGAGATGGACACGTGTTCCAGGGGCAAGCACCTGCAAGTCAGAAAATCTTAAACAGAGATGGGACCGAATCGGGTCTGCATGGGTTGGGCGCATGGTGTCTTTAGAGTTGCGCTAAGAGCTCTGGCAGATCTCCTAGCCCTTGACTGAAAATCCCAGGCCCCTCCTGCTGACTTTGACCTGCAGTGGCGCGAAGGTCCATCTTCACCTGCAGCGGCAAAATTCTTAATCTGATGTGCTCAACCGTATCTTGTGAACTTCTTTTTTGGTGCCTCGCTTTGGAGCGGACTGCGTTCTACATATTCCACTGTTCGGTCTGAACTACCGTCACCAATGCACAGTAAACTGCTTGTGCCTGCCGAACTACTTGATGGTCCGAGATGTCAGCGTTCCTAGTATTGAACCTCGTGCATTCTTTGACCTCGGGCTGCAAGAAGCGACTGAAGCGGAAACTGCTTCCCGCAACAAGGCTTGCTATTCCCCCTTTTGCTGGCATAGAAGGCCGCGACAATCAACTTCTTACAACACTACAATGCGTCATCTTCAAAGTGCTGATGGGCTTGCTCCCGAAGTTCTAGAACATCCTTGAATGCCTGACGTGAAGCGGGTGGCTGATGAGGCGAATTTTCCCAAACGAACAACCGAGCGTGGGGCAGTAAAAGGACATTTCCCCTTCTTATGGTGCCCCTGGCTGCCTGTATGTGCTCCGGGTTCAGTGTAACTTCCCGCTTCTCCAGCAGCTCGACGTCTACGCTGGTCTTTAGGGCTGTGGTGGAAACCTTCTTCACTTTGACCTTCGCACCGTCGGCGAGGAAGACCTGCTTTAAAGGAATACGCTCCCACTCCCATATGTCCACGAGGTCGACCATAATCTCTTTGGGAATGTCCATGCTGTCCAGGACGTTCGGTAACTCGAGGTGCACCACAGTCCTCGTCTTGTCTCCAGTGGTACTCGTGGAGATCCTCTTGAAGCAGGTTTTCTCAGCGCTGTTGAGGTTGTGCTTTTTCGCACCCTCGTAGGTGAGGTAGAGACGCTTTCCGGGAACGAGCTCCTGCAGGTCTAAGCTTGCAAAACGACACACGTTTTCTGGTTCCTGGAAATGGGTGCGGGCCACTCACGAAGTCCGATCTCAATCTCGGAGAAAAGCCTTCGAAGTTATCATATGCTCCCGTCAAACTGAAGTCAAACTGAGCCCGTCTAAACCTCGCTTAGCGGGACAGCCCAAAGTGACCGCTTGAGTGCCACGAAGCCCTCCTCATCGCTGGGACCTTCGGTGGCGAGGAGGTCCATCTTCACCTACAGCAAACCGTACAAATGAGTCAGGCTGTGCATCACCTGGCACATGCCGTCCCAAAAAGACTCCCACCCACCACGATCGCTCGCCGACCCTTGCTAACACTCGACCCACCTCCGAATCGGGCGTCACACTGCCATCCGGGTCAACCGCGACGGCCTGTCAAGGCACCAGGCAAGCACCGGTTTAGCAAACTTCACCTGCGTTGCAATGCAAATGCCGTCCTGCAGACAGAACGCATGAAAAGCTGAGCCGGCACATGGGCGGGCAAAGCGCTTTGCAACGTGCATACTGGCGGACAACTTCAAAGTACGAAGACCTGAAGACAGTCCAGGGGTGCATCATGCATCAGAAAAGTGGGCACCGATTGGAACGAGGGCACAGACTTGCCGTACGTCCTGCTTTTCTACGACCGGTAAACATTGCTGATAGGAACACTACGGTCGTGACTCAGACATGGTGATGATCCATGTATGGAGGATAGGATTGGCAGTGTGGTGAGTATCGCAAGAGCCTCCAACCCCGTTGCAAAGGGGCTCTTCCTTGCCCGTGGAAAGGTACGGCTAAAAGGCCCCAAGGAGACAACAGTAAACGAACCCGCAAGGATCCGGATGCGCTGTGTTACGGTCCGGTGATATCGACAAGCCGAGCCCTGAAACCGAGACTCTTCGCTCCAAAATTCGTGGATCCAACAATGATGGATGAAATCCAAATTGGAAAGCTTCGGGGGGTCACAGGGCGCATGGACTGTGACCATGAAAAGAACCGTAGCCTGTGTGCATCGTTGGCCGTCACCAGCACGGATGTAGCGGATGAACAGAATCTCGAGAAAGCAAACAGCAGCTTAGAGTGAATTTTGAACGGGGAGTTGCGTCTCGGGTCTGAGCTCTTAGATTCTGAGATTCTTGTAATTGTAGGTCGGCTCAAGTAAACTCCCTTCCTCCATCACTCTAAATCTCTTTGGCTTGACCCGCTGGCACCCCCCACCCAAAGGCTCGCCAAGAGCACGCTGCAACACGTAACACTCGCTTCGAAACCTCAATTCTCGGGAAGCTCCCGGCAGCACCTTGTTATCCTTCACATAGGGGTCGGAAATCCCCATTGCGCTTAAGTTGAGCTTCTCCTGACCAGGAGGCTTTGCAAAAAGCATAGGGCACAGGAGTCTCAGGGGTTGGCAGCTTCACGATTGGCTCTCTGTACCAAAGGTTGAGATCTGCACGCGGCTTGGCTGGCAAGTCCGCGCATGAGGGCAAGCATCTCCGTTGCTGGGGGCAACGGGTTCGGATCAGCGGCTTTTGCAATGTTTCGGCTGCTTTCGGATTCTTTGCTACGACTGCACCTCATGCGACAGACTCCTGAAGCGCGAGCCCGGCCGAACAACACTACATTACCACGTTAGATTCCTGAAGCTTCTCTGGAAGCCAAAAGAGAAAGACCCTGGATCCGATTCCAAGGCCGCTCGTCTCCTTCATGTAGCTCGAGGCGAAGAGGTTGATGTTGCCACCTTGGGAGTGCTGGGGTCTTGTTTGCATGGTAGATCGACGGAGCACTTTCAGACAGAACACGCTCCGATGAAAGATTCGGACTGGGCTCAGGGTTCTTAGTTTTGCCCTTCGCCGCGGCCATTGTGGGACTTGCTTCTCGAGACATCGTGATTCGGAATCAGCAGTCGAAGGACCGTGAGGTTCGGGAGTTGTGGCTTCGGCGGTTGGCACCGGGATATGCTACCTGCGACTCGGCATAAAAAAGAAGTGCTTGGAGGATGGATCACCACGAAAGCCCGACAAACGGGATGCTCTCCGCGCGCGGGGCGGGCATGGGTCTCAGCGACAAATTTTCGAATTTGCAGTGCTAGAGAACCGCCCATCATCAGGGCCTTTCATGGGGGAAGTACTTGCGGGTCGACAGTGGGTCACAACACCTTCAAGTTGACTGTCAGCTGACACTCTGCCCTGATGGACCGCAAGATTGAGTGTAAGCCACAGACCGTTGGAAGACACCTGCCGCTCGTGCTCCAGAACAATCTCCTTTGTCACGTCCACGTAGGGGTGCGCCTCAAACTCAAACGCAGTAAAACCTAAAGTGCTCAGGAGCTCGAAAGCCCGCACCTCTCTTCTTTCTGGTCCCGTCTGACAAGAGCAAAACTGAATGGAAAACACAAGAGGCTGAAGAAGAACAAAGGTCGCGATTTATAAGTAGCGATAAGAAGGATAGCAGCAACGACCAGCACTGCAAAAATCACCAAGCTGGGTGCAGTAGTAAGCTTCTCCAGGATCTGCGCCAAGCCATGCTCACAAAGCCAAGTCCTGCGCAGAGCGCAGAAGCACAGGGCCCACTCCAGACATTGGACACGGCCACACAAGAACCTGACAAAGAAAAAAGTTCAAATTGCGAGCTCAACCCAAAGGCTCCTGCTGTCATCATGACCCAAAACGGCCCATGCTGGAATTCAAACAAACTCCCAAAAGTGGCCTCTTGTCGGCGTAAACACCGAAATCGGCGTTGCTCGCTTTCACGAGAACGGCTTGTGCGATACCAGGTACAGCCTCAAGTTCGAACAGCTGCTAATCCGGGTTTGATCGGAGACGGGGAACGTGCACGGGCTGCACCCAGCACGACTCTCGCATTGGTCACACCCCGCAAACCTGACAGTAGAAGCTGTTCTATCCGACATCCGACTAGTTCCATGCAACGCCTTCCGGGCTTAGGGCATGAAAAGCAACATCCAGAAAATCGAACTTCGGATCGCACTCGGCGAAAGACGATGGCAAACTGGCTAGATTCATGACTCATCTGTCAAGAACCCCATGTGATTGGATCATCATCATCATCATCATCATCATCATCATCAACATCATAATCATCACCATCATCATCATCATCGTCCATCGTCATCGTCATCATCGCCTCGATCGTCGTTATCGTCACCATCGTCATCATAATCTTCATCTTCATCTTCGCCTTCATCTTCATCATCACTTCATCATGGCATGTCCTGTCATGGCATGCCATGCCATGCCATGGCATGCCATGCCACGTCATGTCGTGTCACCATCATCACCAGCAGCCGCAAAGTTTCGCATCACTCCCATCGCAACATCCAAGTAATCGAACGGCCGGCGACACTAGCTTTGCTTCCGGAGGCCTTGCGCGAGCAATGCCTTTGATTATGATGATGATGATGATGATGACGATGATGATGCTGATGATGCTGATGATGATGGCGATGGTGATGATCACACTGATGCTGACGCTGTCGCTGACGCCGATGCTGATGCTGATGCTGATGACGATGACGATGATGATAATGGCAGTTATCATGGCGAACACAAAGATAGTGACCATGATGCCGATGATGAAGAAGCCATGAGCGTGAAACTGAGCATGTACAAGATTGACACAGTAGTGTCGAATATGAAGAAGACGAAGAAGTCTTGCAGCTGCCTAGACGCAGCTTGGTGAAGATGACAACGATTGCGATATGCCCCTGCAGCCCCAGAACGAGGCCCGCACCCCGGCACGATTGAAGATGCTATCTGCAATCAGGAGAGCCTGCCTGTTGGACATGTTCAGCAGGCACCTCGCAGGTTGACGGGTCACCAGGATGACAAACTTGTCCTACAGATGTTCTTGTGGCTAATGTTTTCGCACTAGGTGCTGTGGCGGCATGCCGCAGCAGCAGCAGCAGCAGCAGCAGCAGCAGCAGCAGGAGAAGTAGTAGTAGTAGTAGTCGTAGTAGTAGTAGTAGTAGTAGTGGTAGTAGTAGGAGTAGTAGGAGTAGTAGGAGTAGCAGGAGTAGTAGCAGTACTAGTAGTAGTAGCAGCAGCAGTAGCAGCAGTAGTAGTAGTAGTAGTAGCAGCAGCAGCAGCAGTAGCAGCGGTAGCGGTAGCAGTAGCAGTAGCAGCAGCAGTAGCAGCAGCAGTGGCAGTGGCAGTG